CCCCCTGACCCCAGCCCCCCTGGGCCCAGACCCCCTGAGCCCAGTCCCCCTGACCCCAGACCCCCTGGCCCCAAGTCCTCCTGACCCCAGACCCCCTGACCCCAGCCCCCCTGACCCCAGAGCCCCTGACCCCAGTCTGTGAGGTCGGCTGAGAGCTGTGGTCTGGGAATCCTGGGCCTGGGCAGCTTGGGTCCAAGCGCAGAGTCGGCGGGGTTACCTGGGGCAGCGATGGAGCGCAGCAGCTCCGGCTGGGCGCCGGCTGTGGGTTTCGCTTTCTGGCTTGTTGGGGACAGGACTTCCTTCCTCTTCTGAGCACAGGGGGGCTGCCAGGGCGCTGCGGCCAGGCAGGGCAGGAGGCGGGGCTGCCCTTCCCGCTGTCCTTGGCCTTACTCCCCCTCCTCCCCTCCCCCTCTTCCCCCTCCTCCTCCTCTTCCTCCCCCTCCTCTCAGGAGGGCTTGCCCTGGGCGTGGGGTGTTGCTAGCAGCAGGCCAGCCCCTGGGAGGGGCAGCGGGAACTTCCTGGCCCTGTCCAGCCCCATCCCTGCTCCGGTTGGGGAGGTGGGGGAGGGGAGGGGGGAGGAGGAAGGGGAGGAGGAGGAAGGGGGAGAGACCGAGTTTCTTGGCCCCTGGCGTAGGCTCTGGGGCCGGTGTGGAGTGTGACCTCGGTCTCCACGCTCACCTCTTGGTGTAATTCCTGTGAAGGGGGGTTTTGTTTGTTTGGCTGGTTTTGCTTTTTCTTTTTGGACTGCTTGTTTGCAAAAGCAGCAGGGAGATCGCCACAGAGACAATGCAGAGGCCCAGGCTGGGGAGAAATAAAGCGGTGGAAGCTGATCACTCCTTCCTGCTTCCTCCTCCACACGCTCTCCTGCCCGCCCGGCTGCCCGCCCTCAACGTTAGCAGGCAGCTGGAGATTTCCTCAAAGGCCTGAGATTGGGAAGAGGCTGGAGGTAGACAGAGAAAGTGGAAACAGAGAGAGAGAGAGAGAAAAAATCAGGCCGACCCCCAAATGTTAGTAACACCACAAGAAAAATAATTAGGGGCATGTGAGAATGGGGGGGGTTCTTTCTGGTATTTAAGGGTTTCTCCAAGACATCATTGCCAAACCCCAGCTACAGGAAGCTCTGAAACATGTATCACCGTCCCGCAATCACCGTTCGGCCGGTTTGAGACAGGACAAGGTTGCCTAAGGCCAATTCTTTCTGGGCCAGGCCGGGGCGGAAGCCGGCCTCTTCTGCTCTCTTCCCGGTCCTGATCTGTGCAGGGACAGAGCCACCTGGAGTCCCAGGAAAAGGAAGCCAGATTGCTAATAATTTAGCAAAAAAAAAAAAATAAAACCAAAACAAAACGAGAGAAACCAAACCCAAAACCCGACATTATTGTCAGGGAGTTCCCACTCCATATTAAAATAGAAAAGAAAACCTCCTTAAAGAAAAATCTGTACATGTGGCCTTTGTCCTTTTGAGCTTGGCTTACCTCCATGAAAAGATCCCCAGCTTAGTTCTTTGTTGGTCTGTCTGTCTGTCTGTCTACCTCTATATCTGTCTCTCTGTATCTCTGTCTATCTATATCTGTCTATCTTCTCTGTGTCTGTGTGTCTGTCTAACTCTATGTCAGTTTGTCTGCCTCTGCTATCGATATCTATCATCCATCTATCTGTCTGCATTATTTTTTCAGTACAAAATGAGTTTTCAGAACAGTGGTCAGATCTCCTAGGCAGTATTTACAAGCCGTTCCTTGATCTAAACGTTTATACTGAGCTCTTCATTCTCCATGCTAAAGGTCAGAGTTTACCTCGGTTTTAGGGATCATAGCTGCTTGGTGCTGAGTGAAGGAATGTGCAGGATTGCAGCTGGCTGTCTACTTCCCAGGCCCAGATTCTTTTTTTTTTTTTTGCCAGTCCTGGGGCTTGAACTCAGGGCCTGGGCGCTGTCCCTGAGCTTCTTTTGCTCAAGGCTGGTGCTGTACGACGTGAGCCACAGCGCCACTTCTGGCTTTTTTCTGCGTATGTGGTACTGAGGAATTGAACCCAGGGCCTCATGCATGCTAGGCGAGCGCTCTACCCCTGAGCCACCTTCCCAGCCCTCAGATCCTTCAGCATTACAGCCACCTGCAGAAAATGTCTGCGGTGGCAGGGAAGGGCTGTGATTGTGACCCAGAAAGGTCTTGGGTAAGCTTGCTGCCCGTGCGACACGAAGTCCCCTTTCGGCTTGGCAGGGGAGGGGAGGGTCTCTCTTGCGGTCAGCACGCCAGCCTGTCTGGGGAGCACCCGCCAGCCTTCTCGCGAGTGGCTGCATGCACGCAACCACACGCAACACACAGACACCGTGCATTCAAACACGGAGCACGTACAAACGCCTTGCACGCACAGTGCAAACACACAGAGCCACGCACGCCCGTTGGCACCTCGTACAGTTTCAAACGCCGCGGCCCGCAGCAGTCGTTCACCTCACCCTGAATGTGACCTTGCCGGCTCTGAGTGTCAGCCCTGACTACACTGTAAACCTCAACGATGGTGTCTCAGCACACCACCCATGTCCCCGGGGTGTCTCGGGCATGGTCTTATCTCCTGAGCATAGACAGCAGGGTTACCTAATCTACAGTAAATGTTCAGTCTCGGGTACTGGCATATCTGTTACCCAACCACAGCCGCTCTGTGGTTTGTTGCTAGATCGATCCTTGCCCTCAGAGCCTTTCCCACTTGGCCTGAAGATCAGCTGTGAGAATGAGGCTCCTGTAGATTAAACCAGGAACTGGTGTCAAAGGGAGAAGTAGGGATAGATAAGCTTGGAAAAGACGTTGGCTGGCTCTCTCTGTCAGTTCCTTTGGACTAAGTGCTATGTACTTATTTTCCCTGTTGGAGTGCGGGGCTCACCGGTGAGGTTCTGCGTTCCTGAGCTCTAGCCCAATCCGCTCGCGGCAGCCTGCGCGGTGGGAACTATCTAACACCTGCCAGAGTCATTTCTTTTCCTCTCTGTCCGTGAGAGATTCGAGTGCTCCGGAAAGCTGGAGTGTAAAGGCTGAAGGCTCTCGGAAGGCAAACGGCTTCTGCTCGAGTCACTGTCTTTGCTGTTGTCCCCCAGGTAGTGAACTAAAGTTGCTGATTGTGGAAGAACACACGCTCATCATCTTCTTCTTACTTTTTTTTACCCCCAAACTATTTTCCTTGCAGTGGTCTTTAGAAATACTTCTTGGCTAGGAACTACATTAACTTCAATTCAGCGAGAAGCTCTTTTTGTGCCTATTGAGCCTAGGACATTTCCACTTTGCTTCTCTATTAGCAAAGGCCCTCATGAGTTAAGCTGAGTGCCACGCACGTAACGACACACATGCCCAGCCCTCGCAGCCCGTGCGTCTGTGCCTAATCATGACGTGAGAGTCCGTTCTCCGACTTCGGAAGCGGATGAGGATGTAAACCGCATGATGCACCAGTGCGTTATTGGGGCAGAGGTGCGTGAGACCGCTCGCTCGTGCGTGGAGGGGTGTGTGTGTCGTGAATAAAAGAGGACATGGCGTGGATATTCCGGGAAGGAAGTTAAGATTGACTTTCTCTCAGCAAATATTTACCTGGGCTCTCCCACTGTATCAAGCTCTGGGCTGCGCAGAAGGAAATGAGAACAGACAGAAGCCCCGGGGGACCCCACTCCCTGGGGGGGGAGGGAAGAAGCCCCAGGGGACCCCACACCCTGGGCGGGAGAGGGAAGCGGGGAGAGACTGCTGGACACCAAGGACTGGCGTGTGGGTCTACTTGATATCTATCTGTCTGTCTGTCCATCTGTCTGTCTCTGTCTGTCTATCTATCTATCTATCTATCTATCTATCTATCTATCTATCTATCTATCTATCTATCTATCTATCTCCCTACCTACCTGTGGATCTATCTCCGTAATGAGGATTAACTTTGGCAGGTGTGCGCACTGGGTGTTTAGTGAATGCTTGCTTCCTTTAATGAGGATTAACTTTGGCAGGTGTGCGCACTGGGTGTTTAGTGAATGCTTGCTTCCTTTCCCGATGGCTTCTTCACAGGCCCGGGAACTTCCTGTTCTTTTAGTGTTGCACAACTCGTGGTAATAAATTACATCGTGTACACAAGGAAATACAGTGCATCACGTACACTTCCTCCCTAATGAGATAACGCTGCTGAGGATGCTCGAGTCATCGAGCCCACCCTTGGGACAGAGGGGGGTGGGGGGGCTTCATCTTCGTCATCTTCCTCACGGCCTGTGGGAAGAAGGCCGGCCAGCTTCCAAGGCTGGGATGTTCTCTGGAAACTCCACACTGAACGTCAAATCTGTTGCCTGTCCAGCATCGGTCACGGTGAAGGTGCGATCCCAGCGGACACTTCCGGGTGTTTGTGTTATGCTCCCAAGGGGAAAAGGATGGCAGCACTGACCTGTCACACGGGTGTGATGGGGAATTTGTAGATACCACAGCCATCCTATGGATGAACCATCTGGGCATTGCTTGAGGGATTCAAAATCAACGTCCTTCTCCACACTTGCGCTTACTCATTCTACCCAAACCATAGAATCTATCATTTTCTTCCTGGCAGCCATTCTTGGCCTGATGTCCCCTCCCCCAGTTATCCTAAAGTTGGAAATGATTGCTAATATGTCGTTTGCGATCTCTGTCTTCTCTCTCTGTCTCTGTCTCTCTCTTTCTCTCTCTCTCTCACTCACACACACACACACAGACCACACAATGAACCTCTGTAGTTCCTGTTGATAAGAGGTGTGTGGAGATTGCCTAGTGAACATTATCTGCTTAGTATCTGAAGTTTTCCTTCGCAGAAACTATTCAATGACGCCTCGAGAGATAGTGTTCACATACTCATTAACTTCTTGCTTCGAAAGCTCCTTTTGATCATTAGCTTTCCACACACAGTCAGCGTCATTATGTTTCTGGACTTTATACTTTGTACAAACACATATATATATATAAGTATATTTTATTATTATTATATTTTATAAGATAATCTATTATATACGATAATCTATATATACAATATAACATATTAATGATTATTAATGAATTATTAAATATATTCATGCTTATTCATGTTTCCGTGCACCTGTCATTCTGCTGTGTCTCCTTCTTTATTCTGGGAGGTGCTGAAGTCCAGGGCATGTGGGAAGCAGAGACTTGGTTGCCAGGAATCACTACTACCTATGATGATGTGTCTGTTTCTCCCATTGACATGTCTAGCCCTGACTCTCCTTAGCAGGACTGGAGTAACTTTACTCTCTATCATCACCTGGCTAACTTAAATTCAGGAACAGTTCAAAGATTTTCTCTTTCAGGGAACAAAAAATATGCTCGCTCTATACAGAATATGGCTGTGATGATACAATTATCTCAGAGTTAGATCTAGGGACTTACTAGTCCCGGAAATCTTTATAGTTTCATTGTCAGACCAAAAGCTAGTATACATGTTTTATGTAAGTATAAATTGCACCTTTAAAATACTTCAGATCTATATCCCTGGCTGTCATTCTTTTAAATGCATTCATTAAGAAAATATTGCTTTTAGGGGGCTGGGAAGGTGGCTCAGTGGTAGAGCGCTTGCCTCACATGCCTGAGGCCCTGGGTTTGATTCCTCAGCACCACATAAACAGAAAAACCTGGAAGTGGTGCTGTGGCTCAAGTGGTAGAGCGCTAGCCTTGAGCTGAAGAGCTGAAGGCCAGTACCCAGGCCCTGAGTTCAGGTCCCATGACCGATAACCGATATATATATATATATATATATATATCATATATATATATATATATATATATTATATATATATATAGCTTTTAGATGATTTACATATCTGTGCTTCTGCTATAGCAGAAGAATAGTCTTTCCTCTCCGCACCTTCACATACACTACTTGTAATTCTTGTACTATAGCTGGTTTAGATTGTACCAGTTGTGTAACCATTTTGTCAAAATTTTCCTAAGCAAATGACTCTAAAAATGAATAGCCACAAAGATATGAAGTTATATGGATGTGTGCGATGTACCTGGTTTTTCTGTTACCTGCTCCTGTCTGAATATTTCCATCTGGCCTGTTTATCTGTGCATTGTACCACGCAGTTAGCAGTCTCTAAAGAAAAATCCCATTCAGCCCATAGGTGAGAATTTATTTACCAAGCATTTCATGCATTGATATAGACCCTTCTAACATAGACTCTGGTATACACCATAGACCCGCACACCAGAAGTAGAAGAAAATAATTTAGTTGTTTTTTTTTTTTTACTTCTAATTTTTATGTTTTCAAAACCTTGGATGCCAGACTTGGTCATTTTCAAGGTCAAATGCTGTTGGCACCCTTCCCCCCCCCCAATTTCTTGTGAGTCCCAGCTCAGGTAGTGTGTGTGTGTGTGTGTGTGTGTGTGTATGTGTGTGTGTGTGTGTGTGTGTGTGTGAGCACGCTTTGAAATACTCTAAAGAATTCTAAGAATTCTCAGCGGTAGCCAGATCCCCACTGTGATATTCACAGCCCCGCAGTGCATTTGGGACCTGAATTAAGCAGAATCAATTAAGGATCAATGTAACCATCCCAGAGGGAGTGAGTCCCCGGATGAACCAACCCGAGGCTTTCAGATGGCCATTTTGGGGATTTGAACACAATCTCTTCCCCAGCCTTGGGCCGGCAGTTGCTTGAGCCTGCTTGGGCCGGTAGCAGCAGTGGGCGATGTGAACTGTTTTTCTTAAAGGGCGCAGTGAAGACATAGACCAGCATAGGAAGGTTGAATTAATTGGCCCAGAATGAGGCCAGTGAATTACTGATGTCAGGGGACATACTACCCCCAAGCTTGAGCCGTGCAGCCTGGATTGAAAGCTGTGTGTACAGGATAAAGGTTATCTCTCCACAGTTTCTATTGCTTTCTTCCTTCTTGCCTACCACACCCCACTCTTTGCGGGGGGGGGGGGGCGGGTGAGTGTTCATCGCAGGCAGTTCGGTGCTCTTCACACTTCCTTACCCGGTAAGACTGTTTAAAAGTGGGCCACGCTTATCACTCTTGCTTGGTGAGTGAGTCACCAGTCTGGGAAGGGCTTGGAATCCGGGTGTGTATATCCTTCATAAAGTTTGTTCCTTTGAGATGAGCAGCCAATGGCTGAACAGTGAAAGAGCTCTCCTTCCCTGGTCCCTGGGGGGGGAGAACGTGGCGCCAGGAACAGCTTTCTGAGCTGAGTTCATCGGCAAAAGTCTCCTTCTGCTAAATCCATCGCCGTAGCTGGCCTTTACCCAAGTCCAGGCTCTCGGTTTCTGCGAATACCTTCATGCCTCCGTGCCTGGAACTTGACGTTGTGTTTGTGGAATTCTAAAGCAATTCGGGAGTGTGTTAAACAGGTTCTCTTAGGTTTGCAAAGGGGAGGAAAAGGGAGTATTTGTAAGAAAGAGCACAGCTCTTGCGGAAGGTTTAGAACTTTCAGCCAGTGTGTGCTCGCTGGGGCTCTTAAAGCCTTGCCAAGGTGGTGTCCATGCATTGACTTTATTTTTCCTCCCCCCTCTCCCTCCCTCCCTCCAGAATCTCACTGTACCTCTGACTACCAAGAATGAATTAAAACCATTGTCTTCCTCAAGCAACATGTTGGACTCGAGTTATTTGCTCCACCTTGTAACTTTTCCAACACTGGGTAAACATGTTACTCAGATACAAAAAGTGACACACAAATTCAACAAGGGACGACTCTTGCAAGACACTTTTTTAAAAAAAATCCAGTCGTTTTTGATTAGTAACCAGTGTTAGTACAAGAAGAACTTCAAAGGGCTCCCTAAACATTGAATTCTCATCTTTCATGCTTAGCATGGCAGTAACTTCAAAAGGCTAAAAAGAGAGGGAGAGAGGAGAGCTCCGCGACCTCTGAAGGCAAGGCTGGACCCCGTCAGGAACGGTAGACTTTGCTGTCTTGCATTCTCCACCAGATAATTGCCTCATTAAACTGTATTTTAATAAACATGATAATTAACATTTTATTACCAAACCAAAAAAAAAAAGAGAACAAATGTTCAGACCATTCAGAAATGAAATCCAGGGCCCGAGGGATAGCTGGAAAGAAACGAGAAAGAGTTAGTGTCAAATATAGACGTCTTCAAAGGGAAAGAGATGGCCGGGTCACGCCTTTTACTTACTGAAGGACACACTGCACATCGTATCCTTGGCGCCATCTTGCTTGTTATAAGCCGGCTAGTGAATGTTCAAAGAACATAAAATCCTACAAATAAATAAACTGGGTATGAGTGAATTTGCAAGAGGCAGGAATTAGGATGGAGATTCTGACATCGGGGCTGTCGTTGATCGGGGTGGGGAGAAAAACGGAAAAGCGGACGTGTGTTGTGACGCCCTCGGGTAGCATCTTCAGCGTCTGCCTGGCTTGAAGGCTGGTGCAGATTCGCACAGTATCACCTGTGAAACTGGCGGGCGGGTGATCAGCACCGTAGGAGTCATGTGACAGATCTGGGGGTCAGCGTAGGAGAGGACACCGAGGAGTCATCTCCCAGGGAAATGCACCTGAGCCCTGGCTTGAAAAGCTAAGCTAGGAGCGAGCGCCCCAGTTTCATACCGCTGACCTCCCTAAGGAGACACAGATGGCCCCAGAGCACGTCTCCCCACGGCTTGCTTTTCAGATGAACGGGGGGGGGCGTTGCTTAGGCCAGAGCCTTTCAGGTTTATGGGGTGCTGGTTGTGACACTGGTGGGGTGGGGGTGGGGTGGGGTTGAGGACCTGGACCTTGAACCCCAACGCAGGTACCTAACCTGGACTTCACAAGCCGGTTTGAGTGAAACCCAGATAAACTTTCATGAGACTTACATTCCACCAACCTCTCTAGCAACCGGGGTGAAGAATAAGGAAATGTATGCATTGGAGAAAAGGATATTTAGAGGCTTATATTATATACATGCACATATATTATATTGTATACATATACAATATAATGTATAAGAATATAAGATATAATACATAGAATATACAATATCCTATGTATAACATTTTATATTACATACATTATATAATATATGTTCACAGCTGGGCACCGGTGGCTCACACCTGTCATCCTAGCTACTCAGGAGGCTGAGATCTGAGGATCGCAGTTCAAAGCCAGCCTGGGCAGGAAAAGTCCGTGATACTCTTATCTCCAATAAAACCACTCAGGAAAATGGAAGAGGTGCTGTGGCTCAAGTGGTAGAGCGCTAGCCTTGAGCTGAAGAGCTGAGGGCCAGCGCCCAGGCCCAGAGTTCAAGCCCCATGACTAACCCTCCCCCTGCAAAAAATATGCATATGTATGTTCACCTATTTTTAATGCTCCCCTCCACATCTAAATTAACAGTGGGAGAAGAGGGGAGCTCCTTGCTTGGGGAGAAGGTTGAGAATTGTGTCTTGGGTGGTGAATCCTGGGGCAGACAGTTGGTGGAGGGGGTCTCCTAAGCAGACCTGGGCATGTGAGTTCTGTCTTTTTGGGACATGGGTCCTGTGCTGGCTATACTCTGCAGGTCAGCACCCTAAGCCTTGGCTGGCGGAGCTCGGGCCTGTGGGGAGAGGGGAGGGGGGAGAAGGGTCCCTCCTCCCCCCTCGCCCCCCCATAAGCACAGACTCACGAAGAGGAAGCAGGCCCCGATCATGGCAGCCTTCACCGTCACATCCAGATCTGGGGGAACGTGGACCCCAAAGTTGTCCGCATTGGTGAACACATCATTCACAAAGCCCGACCAGTACTTTGAAATCTTCCCAATGGTCAACTTCTCATTCATGGTTTTCACCTTGGGAAAGAAAATAAGAGGCATTAAGTTTGTGGGAGAGAGAAAGAGACAGAGACAGAGAGACAGAGATAGAGGTAGAGAGAAAGGGAGAGGAGAGAGAGGAGAGACAGAGACAGAGAGGGGGAGAGAGAGAGGGAGAGGAGAGAGAGGAAGGAGAGAGACAGAGACAGAGAGAGGGAGAGGAGAGAGAGTAGAAGAGGAGAGAGAGACAGAGAGACAGAGAAGAAGAGGAGAGAGAGCAAGAGGAAAGAGAGAGATTTTTCCCATGTCTCTGTATGTTTACGTTCTGACAAATATGGATTCTCCCATTAAACATTTGCAAAGGGCAAATTTCATACAAGCGTGCAACTTTCCACTTCCCTCTTCAGGAATTTTGCTTCTTCTGAGAATCACTTTATCCGTCACAATCCCTCTATTGACTTTGCTGACTTGCAGATGAAGGCAGCATGTAGATACTATCTAAAGAAGGCCAGCCAGCCAACTGCAAGAGGGCAGCAAGAATTTAGTTCCAGGAAGTGGTCTAACCATATAGATCTGTAGCCCAGACTTAAAATCTACATGCAACAAGGAAGACAACTTACAGAGAAGCCCACGTGTTCCAGGAAGATCTACCAATGACTAGGTGAACTTCTAAGGTATGGCTTCCTAAGTGTATCTTAGGGATATTGCATGATGTGAATTACGTTGCCACAGCAAAATGAAACAAAATGGCGGCCGTGGAAGCCTCTCTTCCTTTGGTCATTCGTACCTCAAAATCCACATCGCCAAAGCAGCCACAGGTGGTGCAAGGACCGATGATTTTCAACACATCCTCTTTGTGTGCGTTCTGGATTGTGAATTTGGGCCGGAAGGGGTCCCACTTCTGGGCCACGTAACCCACGGTTGTCCCCGGTGGGGCTTGGATCTCTAGCTGGAGGAAGAGAAGGCTTCGGAAGGTCATTTCTCTTCTGGTATGCAACAGGATTGGGTGTTGCAGCAGTATTCAGCCTGCCAGGACCTTCTTTTTGTATCTACCAGTCATTCTGCACGCCTGCTTCCACGGCACCCCGGTGGCTCACGCCTGTGATCTATCTACACGGTACCGTACTCAGGTGGCTGAGGTCAGAGGAGCTGAGGGTCAAGGCCGGCCAGGGGAGAGACATCCCTGGGACTCTTATCTCTAATTAAACAGCAAAAGGTTGGAAGTGGAGCTGCAGCTCAAGTGGTAGAGTGCCAATCTTGAACAAAAAGGCCAAGGAAGAGTAGAAGACCCTGGGCTCAAGTTCCAGTACTGGCAGGATAAATAGATAGATAGATAGATAGATAGATAGATAGATAGATAGATAGATAGATAGATAGATAGATAGATAGATAGATAGATAGATAGATAGAGCGATAGAGAGATAGACAGACAGACAGATACATGGATGGATGGATGGATGGATGGATGGATAGATAGATAAATGATAGACAGACAGACAGACAGACAGATAGATAGATAGGATAGATAGACAGACAGACAGACATAGATAGATAGATAGATAGATAGATAGATGGATGGATGGATAGACAGACAGACAGACAGACAGACAGACAGACAGACAGATAGATAGATAGATAGATAGATAGATAGATAGATAGATGATAGATAGATAGATAGATAGATGATGGATAGATAGATAGATGATAAATAGATGATAGATAGATAGATGATACAGATAGAGAGAGCTAGATGAGAGAGCTAGCTAGCTAGATGATATAAACAGATAGATATAGACAGACAAACTGATAGATGATAGAGATAGACGGGTAGATAGAGTGAGATAGAGATAGATAAATGATAGATGATAGACAAATGGTAGAGAGAGATAGATAATAGATAGGGGAGATAAATGATAGGTGGATGGATGATAGAGATAGATAATATAGATAGATAAAAGATAGGTTAGATATACATACAGACAGTCTGACACAGAGATGGATAGATAGATGGTGGATGGATAGAAGATAGTAGATAGATGGTTTGATAGATAAATGGATAGATGGATAGATAGAAGGATAAATGGATGGATAGATAAAAGGATAGATGATGGATAGAAGATAGTGGATGGATAGATGGATGGATAGAAGGATAGTAGACAGATAGATGGATAGAAGAATAAATGGATGGATGGATAGATAGAATAAATGGATGGATGATGGATGGATGGATAGATATAGATGATGGATGGATGGATGGATAGAAGAATAAATGGATGGATGATGGATGGATGGATAGACATAGATGATGGATGGATAGATGGATGGATGGAT